CTCTGACAGTCAAAATTAATGATCCCATAAGTGACAAAAAGCCAGACTAACTCCGTTGAACAGACTGAAGACAGAGTTCTACTGGCAAGGAGGGGCCAAAGCCTGGTGTGAGCCAAGTGCCAGCACAGGGCCTGACACTTAAGTGGCATCCTTGACATCACTGTCATTGTTCAATGGGTCCAGTGGGAACAGGGCTGCTGCTTCTTGCTACTTCAACACAAGTACCGGAAGCTCAAAGTCCTTTGCAGAACTGAGCTCAGGCTCCAGCAGTGGGTGGAGAAAGCTGAGTCAAGAGCCAAGAGCTGATGATGGGACGATTACTAAGTTGGGTCTTTAACAACAGTAATAACCGCATGAGCTCCATTTATCTGTCCAATTAATAGGAGGGATCATTTACATTTACTTCATCTACAGGGTCCTTCAGAGGGGACTGAAACGCCATCAGTTACACAGCTGCTGTGCTCCTACCTATACATCCATTTGTGAAATGCAACCCTACTTGAGAGTAAAAAAAGGACAAAATATGTCTTTGAGCTAACGAGATGTGGTAATGAAAACCATGATGGTGTGGTAGAGGTGACCAACCTCCTCTCCTTCAAGGGGCCATAAGTGACCTCGTCTCTTCCCTTCCTTCCTCCTTTCCTCCCTCCCTTCATTCCTTTTTTCTCGTCATTCCATGTATTGAAAGTCCTGATGTCATGAATACTGCAAATAATGAGCATTTGTTGGCTACTTTGTGTATACTTAACTGACATGCTTTTCTTTCCATAAACTTTTGCAGAAGACTCGAACAAAGTTTAGTCATAGGGTTTTATATACTTTTAGTAAAATATACATATGATATTGATTATATTAAAAATTTCTGAGTAAGTGCTTTCAAGGTCGTTGTTTGAAATACTAGCATAAACAGGCACTTAAGTGGCTCTTGACTTTGTTAAGACTTGATTTCCTGAGCAGTTCAAAGGTTGATGAAGTGAGAAAAAAACACAATTATCTTGATAAAGCATAAACCTTTGTCTTCTAGGTCATTTTTTCCCAAATGTTACTAAGATCAAAGCAATATTCTTGAGAACACTTTGTTACTTTAGACACAGATAATTATCTACCCCAGGTTTGCACCAGTGCATTGAATCTTAACTTTAGAAAACTTAAATTCATTTTGAAATAAATACCCTTATAACAATTGAATTTAGAATTTTTTATTACATACTTTATTCTTTATAGTTTTCTCATAAACACACCTTAATTCTTCATATTTTCTAAATATGTTAATTATATTTTGGAATTTTTATTTTATGTCATGTGTATGGGTGTTTTATCTCTGTGTATTTATATGTACCACACATGAACAGTGCCCACAGAGGCCAGCAAAGGGTGTTAGATCCCCTGAAACTGCCCCAAATATTTATGTTACTTCATAACCATGCCCTAAATATTTATGTTACTTCATAACATAATGTTTTATTATGTTATTAACATGCTTTAATTAATCATGACAAGAATAAGTTGAAAATATGTAAAACCCATGTTTGCTACTCAGTTATTTTAAAGAATTCTACAAGGAGGGGAAGATTACCACCATGTTCTCTTGGGTTAGATACTCATCTTGTTGGAAAGACTTGATTCTAGTGAAGTGTTTTAGATCATTGCTGTGTGATAGAACATCTTTCCTGGAGTGTCACAAATGGGTCAGCTAGCACCTCTTGGGAGTCACAGTCTGTGCTCCAAGCCAGGTTTGGCCACTTGCTCTTAGTAGGACAGTTAAAAGAGCCAGACATTCTACAGGGCACAGAGAGAAGTGACTGAGAGACTCTAGACCTGTAGGCTGAAAAAATGGATGCCCCAACATTGCAGAAGAACTTTGGGTAACTGTCCAGGTAGCCAGCTGTCTCTGTCATTCTAGATTTTTGAAAGTTGCTTACAATGCTCTTCCTGTTCACTTAGGTAATAGTATATCCTTCTGAAGTCTTTGATGTAGTTGAAGGATAGATAGTTACAATTCTAGTTTTCCTTAGTCATGATAAAAGATAAATTAGATATGAAAATGTAGACTCACAAATATAGGATAGATGATAGAATATTTTCTTTAATTTTGCCAAATATAAATAGACTAGATATTGTAACTGTAATTTTTGCTTGATAACTGTTTTGTTATATATAATGTTACTATGTTAAAGTTAAAACCTTCCTTTTTGATTAGACAGAAAAGGGGAAGTGCTGTGAAATGTCATTCTGTATGCTGTGAATGTGTGTTGCTCTGATTGGTTGATAAATAAAGCTGTTTGGCCAATGATGAGGCAGAATAAGGTTCGGTGGGACACTTCAACTAGAGAGAGAGAGAGGAAAAAAAAAGGCAGAGCTGAGAGACGCTGCTATCTGCCACCAGAAGAAGCAAGATGTAACGTACTGGTAAGCCACAAGCCATGTGGCAAAGTGTAGATTATAGAAATGGGTTAATTTAAGATGTAAGAGCTAGCTAGTGAGAAGCCTGAGCCATTAGGCCATATGGTTTAAAAATAATATAAACCTCTGTGTGTTCATTTGGGTCTGAGCGGCTGTGGGACCACGGGGCCATGGGAGCCTGGTGGGACTAGAGAAAACTTACAACTACAGCCTAGTTTCATTATTTTGCTGTGTTAAAAAACTGTGATCAAAGCAGCTTAGGAAGAAAGGGATTTATTTGGCTTATACTGCCAGCTCACAATACATCACTGAGTGAAGTCTGGGCAAGAAGTACTAATGGAGCAATACTGTTGGCTGGCTGCTCACTAAGTTCCTTATATAGCTTAGGGCCACCTGCCCAGGCATGATGCCAACCAGAGTGGACTAGGCCTCCTGCATCAATTGATAATCAAGACAACTCTCCCATAGACATGCCCACAGGCTAACCTGATAAAGACAATTACTCAATTTAGGCTTTACTCCCCAGGTGATTCTAGACTACGTTAAGTTGACAATTAATGCTAACTGTAATGTGAAGCATGAGGCAAGGGGTATGCACAACTGAGTAGGCCTGTTCAAAATGTGGTCTGGTTGACCATTGTCTCAGATCTGGTTCTGACAGTTGATCTGGTCAAAGTTGATCTGTCACCACGTGAACTGATCAGACTAGTTCTCACAAGATGATAATTTCTGCTCTGTATCTTTATGGATAATTGCCCTTACCTGGCAGGTGGACATTTCCCTAAGACTTTTCTCTTAATCCAAATTAAGTCATGAGACCAAGTGAGTGATGAAGTATTTTAGCAAAATCAGTGTCTAAGTGCCTGTTACAGAGGCCACCATGGCACCAAATACGTCCTCCTGGCCAGCTCTTGCTCTGCTGTGCCCACTCGCCTAGTCTGTAAGAGAAACTAATGGGATACTTGTCATGCCCTTGCCCCTCAGCTTCCTTGACATTTTAGGATGGAGGAGCTCCACAACCCATTCTTCCCAGCATTTGCTATCATCCCAACCAAAGCCACATATATAGGACCTTCTGAGTAGTGCCAGATGCATGCTTAACCCCACTGTTCCATGCCCATCATCCTCCTGCCCAGGTGGGTGAACTCTGCTCTATTCCTTCACCCTCCATGCTCACTGAGGCTACCTCCTCCTCCATCTGGTGCAGTCCCTGAGAGGTAGGCTTAATAGGTGGCAGTTCAAGGATAGATGAGTGTAAGACATGTGTGTCTTACAAAGTATTTTAACTAATTTTTAAATCTTGAACAAATTGCCAGCATACTAAACTCAAGAGCTCCAGTCCCTTCTTTTGTTCTGAGAGCTATAACCTAGACTTTGCTTCAGAGGTTGCAGATACAAAGGTGATCAAATCAACCTTGTCAAAAGGACCTGACATTTAGATAGACATTTATTTGCATTAGCATATAAGCTCCTGCTTCTCCTGAAAGTGCAAAGTGAGAGCAGAATGGCTCCTTTTCCCACCAAGCAATACAAGGTATGCCCTAATGCTCTCTTTCCTTCATGTGGGTGGCTTGCCATCTCCTTATGACACTTGACCATTTAATGCCATCATGGCCAAGACTCTTTCCTCATGGCCTATACTTCCTCACAATATGGAGCTTGAAGGGCAAGCAGGGAGGGAGAAGAAAAATGAAAGAGAGATCAGAAGCCACATCATTTTGATGGCATAGCCACAGAACCACAATGTTATTTATGTGTGCTCCATTCTTTGAGACAATCAACAATCACCACCCCTCTAGACTTAGGAGCAGGGAACATAGCACCTGCCTGTTGGAGGAAGAAGCATCAGTGATGTTGTAAACACACACAAAGAAGGAGAAAATGACTACTATATGACCGTCTCTGAAAAGCTCAACCTACCTCAGCATCCCTCCCTCATCCTCTGGCCTAAGAAACTAAGAATGAATTCACACAATAACGTCTCTTATGTTGTAGCTCTGTCATTAGCCACTGAGGGACCCTGGCCAGACCACTTTGCTTTCTTATGTTTATTAGAAGGACTTAATTCTGCTAAGCAGTGAATAAAAAGAATTTAGCATGGGAACTAGTGTAGATTAAGTCCTCAGTAAATGGTAGCATCTGTGCCCATCCACGTCTGCCAATTCACCTGTTATAACATAGTTGGGTTGTAGGCTCAGCCTACCTGGATTTGGATTTTTACTCTACCACTCACAAGCTGTATGATGTTGGGCAGGCCACTTTACCTCCCATACTTCATTTCTTCCCTGAATTCTGTCTTAAAAGAACTTGATATTAATGGCCACATAACAAAAGTTGAAGGAAAAAAATTCCCCAGTTTTAACTACTTATGCAGAGGAGCTCACTGCCTGAAGGAGCCTCCCTCCACACCCAGTGCCAGGAACTTTCATGGAAAGCAAATAAGAAGTTGCTCCTTTTACAGACAGGGAAACATAGGCTTGGCTCATCCGTATAGAGAGTGATAGTGAGAATCGCATAAGACCCCAGGACTCTGGGGTCACACAGATCAGTGTTACCCAACTCATCAACTGTTGTCTCCACAGGTGCTTGCAATGAACATGAGACTCTTGTGGACATTTCTCTTCCTTGGCTGCCTGCTTAACAAGAGCTATGTTTCATCAGAAGATTCTAGCCATGGGTCAGGTGGGCCACCCTATTCTTCTTGGAAGTTCTGTCCAAGGAAACCCCCAAAGAGACAAGCTGTCATCTCTCCTTATATCTGACCTATCAGAATAACAAGGTCTGTCAGTGTCTCTGCAAGCTTCTGGAGGCACCGTACCCTCTCCTAGAGATGTCTGTCTCTTTCAGACCACATATTTTCATCCAGATCACCTATTTAATGTAAACTACTTTCTTCCCCTTATTGACTGTCTTAACACAGTCTTCCATTTTTAGACCCACTTCCCAGGTATGTCTTTCTAGCCTTCAACTCTAATGATCTAAGTCTCATTCAACTTTGCCCTGAAGAGCAAAAGCCTCAGCTCTGGCAGCCCCAATATTGAGGTTCAGCCACCTGCTACAATATGCTCATTAAAGACGTGAATAATGGTGAGCAAGACAGAGAGAAGAGATTTAACTGACACATTTCAAAAGGAACAGATAAAGGGGTATAGTGACCCCCAAAGTTCATCTTTAGGGCTCCAACTTTAGAGTTCAGCAGAGTAAGAGTGGGGCAAGAGGCAAGAGGTCTGCATGATGAAGACTCAGGGTCAAGGTGTGGTCTACTTGGTCGTTGTCTCTATCCTGGTTCTGCAGGGTGTTCTGAAGTTGTTATTGGTGTCATCCCTCAAGGATATTCATCTGGTTTAAACAAGACATCACTTCTGCTCTGGGGTGTGGCCTCCCACTCTTAGACAGTTATTCGCATCTGTAGGGGGTCTGTCTTTTGAGGTTTGCTCTTCCTCAAATCCAAGATGTCTGCCAGTTTAAGACAAGGACCAATTCCTGTGACTTCAACCTTTCAGGGGAAAAAGATAAGTTAAGAGGACAGATAACTTACATGTCCAGAAAGCAGGAGTCTGAGCCAAACACAAAGCCCAGATGCCAGGCCAGGCTTCTAGCTTGTGGGCTCAAGTGAGGCATCTATGCTTTTTAACAAAAGCAGTCCCTAAGTGCCTGTTACAAGTACACAGGCAAGAGCTCAAGCAACTGCTTGGGGAGCACACACTAAACTTACAGGGACCAGCCCTTTACAAACAACTCCTTCCTCCCAGGTCTACAGCCTCGCCCCATTATCTCTGAAGAGTTCTCACCTGGAGTCACACTCCTGTGACAGATTTTTGTCCTAGGCCTAATTTTGATGTAAAGAACAGAAACTTCATCTGCCAAAAGGAAAATACATAGTTAGGAAAAATAATGATAAAAGGGGAAAAGAGCTATCTCTAAGTTCAGATGTACCCTGGGCCTCCTAGGGTGCTAAAGCCAAAATCTAGAAGTAGGAGGATATAGCTCAGTGCTAGAAATGAGTACTTGCCCAATGTTCACAAAGCCTTAGGTTTCATCCCCAGCACTTAACTAAAAGAATAAAGTGTGTGTGTGTGTGTGTGTGTGTGTGTGTGTGTGTGTGTGTGTGTGTGTGTAAATCATAAATCAAGATCAGAGAAGCTGTGAGCAACCAAAGTAGTTACTTTCTCTTTTCACCATAGATGACCCAGTGTGGTCCTCATGTATCTGACTTTTCATTGCTTCCTGAGCTCAGGTGCAAGACTGAACCTTGGTTTTCCATTTGTAAGAAACCTGGCTCCATGGTATGGCCACAGCTGGCCCTAGGTTGAACACTTAATTTCCTGGCTCCAATGGGAGCTTGTGCCCCAGGACTCAACTATATGTCTCTGTCTCAGCAGATGTTGAAAATGGAGATGATGATGGGTTGGATACAGAACTTCTGAATAGTAATGAAGGTGAATACACTCATATGGAAGATGATAGTGAAAAACTGGCTTCTATGACTGTTACTTCATCTACAAAGATCGCTGAAGTCGATCCGGACAGTGTAGATAAACTTGATCAACCCAAGATGGATGCTTCAGACTCCCTGGACACAAGTGGCACCACCAGCCAAGTATCCTCTGGGCAACTGGGTCAAAAAAGTATAAGCAGTCCTGGCCACTATGGCCACAAGTGCTAAAGAGAGTCCAGCCCTTTAGTGGTGGGTGACACGAGCTTTTCAGGCAGTGGTTACCCTTATGATGCTCATCTAAGAAGTGCTTCCAGTCTGAGGTGGCAGCTCTGGTCCATCTGGGGCTGAATCATCTGGTGTCCCAGGTCAAACTGGAGTAGGGTCAACAAATGGTCATCCTGGGACTGGGTCATCTGGTGCTATAGATCAGTCTGAGCAGTTTTAACAAATGGCCTGACTCATCATATGTCATTCTGATTGCTGTGGTAAAGGTGATGCTGGATCAGTTTTCTGGAAGGTTTGGTCAGTCTGGAGCAGGACCAATAAATGTCCACTGTGGCTTTAGGTCATCTAATGGTTTGGATGGAGAGTCAAGTGATGGTCAGTTTGGAGCTGGGTTTTCTGGGGATTTAGTCAGTTTGCAACAGGATTAGTGAGAGGTCATCCAATGGCCATGACTAGTCTTTTTTGTTTTGTTTTTTTTGAGACAGGGGTTCTCTGTGTAGTTTCGGTGCCTGTCCTGGATCTCACTCTGTAGACCAGGCTGGCCTCAAACTCACAGAGATCCACCTGGCTCTGCCTCCCAAGTGCTGGGATTAAAGGCATGCAACACCACCACCTGGCAGCCATGACCAATCTTGACCACGACCATTCAGTAGTAATGGTTAGTTTAGGCTTAGGGTATCTTTTGGCTCTGATCCCTCTGGCTCTAGGTTACATAATGATTATGTGAAATCTAAGGCAAGGTCATCCTTATGTTAGAAATTAAAGCAGGCTCATTAAAGGTGCTGACAGGAAGCTACCTTTAGATAATTTTTATTTATTTATTTTTTTAATTTGTATTTTTATTTTGCAATACAATTCAGTTCTACATATCAGCTATGGATTCCCTTGTTCTCCCCCCTATGGCCCCCCTTACCTTCCCCCCACCCCACCCCCCATTCCCACCTCCTCCAGGGCAAAGCCTCCCCTGCGGACTGAGATCAACCTGGTAGACTCAGTCCAGGTAGGTCCAGTTAGATGATTTTTATAAGGAGAGTTGCAGGCTCATCACCACAGGCAGCCATAATAAGGCTCTGATGTGGGAAAACATTTTGGAGATATCATTATGGCCATAACCAGCCATAATTTGGCCTTGAAGGGAGAGAGGGCCTTTCCTTAAAAATGATAAGACAAAAGTGTTTTCTGACTCTTATATGTTTCCAGGAGTGGGTGGGCAAATTCCATACCGTGTGACCTAGCCTGGCCTATCTATGTTCCAGAGTCTGGAAGATATTGATAAAAGTAAAGTTACAATTCAAGATTGTCTTTGGTCTAGATATCAGGGGGTGTGGCTGGGCTCACAGCTGTGGGAGGAAGAGAACTGAATGTGTGAGAGGTTCAGTATGCTCTCTTATGACCTCTGTCTGGAGACAGCTGTAACCTACCACCTTAGATCAAGGCTTGGTGTCCCTAACTGCCATGGTCTCACTGGGGAAGTATCACCTGAAGGTCTTGTTCATATGGGGACTCCAGTGGATTATGGGGCTGCCTCCATCAGTTCATCACAATTCATGTAATGGCACCATAAGAGAGCTGGCAACCTTAACGAACAACTGTCAACACCTGTTCTCAACCAGGACATCCTGAGCCAGGAAGGGCTTCTGAGCCCTCTTATCCTCAACAACCAGAATCTAGCCACGGAGAGAGAAGAGCTACTGACGCTTCTCCTGGGTGGCAGTCTATCATTTGGTATCAGAAATGACCTCCTGGAGGCAGCAGGGACCAAGGCTGTGGAAGGCCTGATCTGCAAGGGCTCCCTGGGTGGCCTTTGTGGCCATGGGAGTCTCTCTGGCATGAATGATGTTCTGAAGAACATGAATTCTGGGCAACTCAATAGCTGGTGAGTTTGAGTTCTTTATCAATAAAACAATTCTATAAAGCATTGATCAGAGAAGGTTCCAGGTACCTGAAAGACATTGGTCTGACTCTCTTTAAAAAGTTGGCACTGAGAAGTCACCACCTCCTCTTCCAAAGTCTCAATCACAGCCTGGTGTTTCTCTAACATAGTCTCTTCCTTAGGTTTATGTGGGCTTCTCTGAGCTCTTCTATATTATAAGTTACACCAGGAAAGCATATTGCAGATGCTCTGACCACTTATCCCTTAGTTATCATCTATCCCCCCCGTGAGTAAAAGAACCCTTTTGTTCCAAGCTAGTCACATAGTTACCAACTGAAGCTTTCAATATGATTTCTGCATTTTCACTTACCATCTTAATCAACTGCAAAGTCAGTTACTAGCTTATGCTTTCCTGGTCTAGGATTTGTAGAAATGGGACTCAGAATAGAAATCAAGGTTAGGGAGGGACAGGCATGGGACAGAGGGAAGGGGAGCCACTACTGAGTGGAGAGCCAAGGAGACCAGGAAATTGACTTTTTCACGTTGCCACACTCTTCCTCTTCTGTAGGCTCAATGTCACCCGCTTTGATATTGTCCGGTTGTCATGGAATGTCTTTGCCTCATCTCGTCTCGAACTTAAACTTCAGACCAAGTTGACTATCAACTTTTCAGGGTGAGCAATATGAGGAATGCTATGGTTTGAATCTGAACTGTCCTCTGTGGTTTCATTCTTTGAACTCTGGTGCTGTTTTGGGGTGCTGTGGAGCCTTTAGGAGGTTGAGCCTTGGATGGCTGAAGTGTCACTCGAAGCAGGCCTTGGAAGATCATAGCCTGTCCTCGAGCTCCAGCTGCCTCAGCTTCCTTCTCTGCCATGATGTAAGCAGGTGCCCTCCACCATATGATCCCATTGCCATGCCTTCCCTAGCAGAAGAATTGACATGTCTCTGAAATTGTGAGATCTAAATAACCATTTATTTAAGCTGTTTCTGTTGGGCACTTGATTATATGGTGCAAAATAACTAATCTTGTGAGAGAAGCAAGCGGAGGAAATTCCTAGAGATGGCGAGTGGTTTTATTGGTGGTGGGTGGTTTCCTTTCTTTCAACAGACAGGATGGCTTGGGTTTTTCTTAGCATTTTCCCAAGATCTTGATACTGTCTGAATAAGGACACAGTTTCCTAGGATGGCAGTGATGGCAGGACAGGAATGGAAGGCAAGCTTTTTGCTTTTCCGCCACATTCTGAGGCCGTGTTGAAACAAGCCTGGGGAGAGCATTAAAATGCAAAAAAAAAAAAAAGCCTTCAATCCTACAACAGAGAGGCAGTGGCCTGTAAGATCTCAGCTGGTGTCTTTTCAGTGCTTCTACCACAGCCCTTCTGAAAGGTAATAAATGCTCCATGCTACATGTACACTGTGGTACTTGTGAGCTATCTTGTGGCTGAACACCAGGATTGTTCACCACACCACTCTTTTAAATAACTCTGTGATTGATACAAGGAATGAATCTGCCAATTCTCTGATTACTAGAAAATCTCATGAGCACAATTCACAGCTTGTCATTTATTAGTTTGTTTGTTTGTTTGCTTGCTGGGTGTTGAACCCAGGACCTCACATGTATCAGGCAGGCATTCAATTGCTGAGCTACGCCAGCACCCTGTAATTTATAGCCTTTGATAACCATTTCAAAAGTATCTTACAGAGACCTGGCAATGGTGATAAGACCTAACATTCTTGAGTACTTCACAGAGTCCAGGTTCCGGGCAGCAGTTCCTTTGAGTGCTCTTCTCAGTCCTTACTGTAGGCTTCTAAGGGAGGGAGCTATTACATTCATTTTATCAAACATCCGACAGAACCTCAGAGAAATTCAATCAGATTACACATGAAGACAGGGAGAGAGCTCAGTTAGAAAAGTGCCTGTGACACAAGCTTGATGAGATAAATTCAGATCTGGTTCATGATCTGTGCCTGTCACCCAAGTGCTGGTAAATACAGAGATAGAGGGATCCCTGAAGCTTATTGGCTGGTGGGCCTATCCAAATAGATGAGCTTCAGGCACATACCATCACACATACATACACACCATCACACATACACACATCATTACACATGCATACACATCATTACACACAGATCTCTCTCTCTCTCTCTCTCTCTCTCTCTCTCTCTCTCTCTCTCTCTCACACACACACACACACACACACACACACATTGCACATGGGTGGTTGTGAGTATACATATAACTCCAGGAGGAGATGTGCATATAATCTGCACAGTATTAATGTGCAATAATACTGGTGATGTGCATGAGTTCAGCAGAGCTCCAGGTGGACAGGGCTGGGGGCAGCCTTTCACTACCACTTTTTATCTTTGAGTCTTGAGCTATGAATGAGCATTACCTATCCCAATAAACTATTTTATTGACTTTATATATACATATAATAAAACAAATTAGAAGTATATATAGGAAAACAGGAATGCCTTTTGAAGTATATGTATCAGTTACCTGTGAGTTTTGCAACTCTGGGGAAAGGTATCCTGACTACTTGGGAAGTCAGGCAACACCTTGAGCTGCTAAGCCTGCTCTGACAGCTAGAGCTGGGACGAGAGAGCTCAGCCCTACTTAGAGGTATCCCAGATACCTTGAGCTGCTTAGGACAGCTCTTCCCTGGGAAGTGAAGGTATTCTGACTACTTGAGAGAGTCAGGCCTGGAGCTGCTAGGACAGCTTAGTATGGGAAGGGTATCCTGACCGTTTAGGAGTCAGACTATACCTGGTGTGGTGGGGGATGGTTTCCTCACAGGATATAGCAATCCTGCTCCTCTCCTGGAGAGCCACTACAGATGAGCTTTGCTCAATCCCCACTTAAGGGGGCTTCCTAGCAGAGCTCTGCTTCTTCTCTGGCCTAAGATGTTGCTTTTTTTGCTTCACTCTGCAAAAAGGAGAAACCACTGCAGAAATGTAGAAATCTCCTCTGGCTCTGGAGAAAAGTTACTTTTTCAGCTCCCCCTTGCTCGGTCCACTGAGGGACATCTCAGCAAGGTTCTTTTCTGTGCAGGTGAATGAAGATCTTTACACCCAAAACTCTTTCGAGAAAGAGATTTATTTGGGAAGGAGGAGTCCAGGAGAGTAGCTGCCTCTACCAGGGTGGAGAGAATAGCCCACAATTGACCAGGCAGGGTGGTTTATATAGGATGTCTTGGGGGCAGAGTCAACCAGGGATTGGTTGTTTTTTTCTGCCCAGGGATTGGTCAGTTTTGTGGGCTAGGGGCAGAGATGGCCCTGATTTCAGGGCCAAACTGTGTTTCTTTCACTGGCCTTTCTTGGCTTTTTGATACTAATTCTAAGGCCAGGGAATATTTCCTTTACTGACTCTGATTCTAGGGACCAACAATGTTTCTTTGGTACTGGTTTCAGAGTCAGGGCATATTTCCTTGGTTCTGGGTTTGGGAATAAAGTGTTCCTTTCTCTGACTCAGGTCCCAAGCCCAGGCTGTATTTCTTTCCCTGGTTCTGGGCTCCAGGGCGAGGGTGCTACTTTCCTGCTCTGTGATTGGTTGGTTTCACAGGTCAGTTGGCCAGGAGCAGAGATGGTTCTGATCTGAACCAAACTGTGTTTCTTTCACTGGCCTTTCTTGGCTTTTTGACACTAATTCTAAGGCCAGGGAATATTTCTTTTACTGACTCTGATTCTAGGGACCAATAGTGTTTCTTTGGTACTGGTTTCAGAGTCAGGGCATGTTTCCTTGGTTCTGGGTTTGGTGATAAATTGTTCCTTTCTCTGGCATAGGTCCTAAATCAAGGCTGTGTTTCTTTCCCTGGTTCTGGACTCCAGGACCAGGGTGCTACTTTCCTGCTCTGTGATTGGTTGGTTTTACAGGTCAGTTGGCCGGGGCAGAGATCACTCTGATCTCACTGAGTTTCTTTAGCCAGTCCCTTTTCCCTACATTACCTCTCACCCACAAGTACCTATACCTGTTTGCAAGTTATAAGTTACAGTGAAACCTTTGGAGTGTTCCCAGACATGCATGCAACATCTAACAGCCCTCTCCCGTGCACCCAGGATGCTCTCATTTCTCAGTGGCTCTACAGTGGATGTGGACATTGTGATCCCCTTGGATTTGCACCAGACTGAGCCTGGCCAAGTCTCATTTTCCGTGAAGAGCTGCCAGGCAATATTCAGTGGGATCCAAGTGAATACAGGGTAGGTACAAACTCAGGAAAACTGGGCACCACCAAACAGAGCATGGTGTGGGATGGTGCTATGCACAGAATAGTTACCGATCTCCCTGGGATCTGACAAAGATGTTGGCAAACTACGCCACTAGTGTTCTCTATTTTTAATGCCCTCCTTCTAGTCAAGCTTCTGTCTCAAGGAACTTGGAATCACAAGTAGAAGGGGATGCCATTGGGCCAGAAGCACCCACTTACGAAGAATATTGGGTGCTCCTTTTTCCAAGCTCTCATGGAGAGATCTTGGGTAGGAGCTTTGTAACATCACTTTTCATGCTAGCCTGCCATCTCCTGATGTGCCTGTATAAGCTCTTTAGGGAAGAAATTGCCTTATATTCATCATTCATTTATCCAGCACATATTAAGCTAATAGATACTGTTCCTGGAGACACACTGGGGAACAAGTCCATGGGAGATATATGAGTGAAAACGAAGAGGGAATGAATGGAAAGCTGGTTGGATGAGAAGTGGACGGACAGATGGATGGATGGATGGATGCATGGATGGAAGGAAGATAAGTGAGTGCAAACATGTACGGATGGATGGGCATGGATTCAGGGATGGATTAAAGAAAGAGTAGAAAAATAGCGTATTAAAAAGACATTAATGGTCTACCTGAGAGGTCTAAGCTAGGTTCACTGGACAGGTCTGAAAAATGCATACTTAATTAATTTAACACAGTGGTTCCCAATCTTCCTAATGCTTTGACCTTTTAATACAGTTTCTCATGTTGTGGTGACCTCTAGCCATAAAATTACTTTTATTACTATTTCACTACTATAATTTTGCTACTGTTATGAATCATAATGTAAATATCCGATATGCAGGATATCTGATATGTGACCCCTGTGAAAGGGTAGTTCAACCACCAAAGGGGTCACAGCACACAGATTGAGAACCACTGATTTGACAACAGAGACATAATCATTATTCAGATTGTATAGCAGAGTACTTCAAAGCCCTTAGTGATAATGATCATTGCTAATGATTCCTTTTTCTCTCCTCAGCATGTTCTCCACAATGATGGAATCGATGATGAAATGGTCCTTGAACATTTCCTTGCCCAACATAGTAAGTCTGACAACATGGCCCTGACAGATCCTGAACATGAGCTGTGGAGTAGGCTCTGTAGCTAGCGGTGAGAGAGGACCAGCCCATTTCAGTAGAGGATAGCTTCATCCCTGAGCTGTGCAGAGTCTCTTTCCGAAGAAGGGATAGAGAAAAGACAGTGGTTGAGGGATGACTGTAGCAGGCAGATTAGGCCTGTGTCAGAGGGAGATTGTGACGGGTTTATGGTAGACTTTCTCCATCTTATGTGAAAGTCTTGTCCTGCAAATCATCTTAGATTACAAAGGATTTAGCATGTATATACTGGTCAGGTACATACAAGTACTCTCTTAGCAAGGCCTCTGATTCTTTGTATTGCAGTTGTGCCCAGTGGTCAGATTCTGGTTCTACATCATCAACCAACAGTTGACCATTCTGAAAAGTAAGTAAAGCTGTTGCCTGCACATTGCTTTGTTGTATCGACTGCTGCAGTAGCCACCGTACCTACTCCTATACAGCTACCAGAGAGACCTTTCTGAGTCACGACTCAGATCCCCCATTTCCTGGGGTATCAACTGCAGACCTCAGGGTGTGTTGCCAAGGTCTTTCCCGAAGCTAAGTCTCCAGTGTTCTCCCATTTTCCTTTAGTGGAGTCCCTAAGCCACCTCCATATACTTCACAAGGTTTGGGGACATAATGGCTAAGCTCTGCAGGACTTCCCCCTCCAGCTATCTATGCCTGAAATATCCCTTCATCCTCCAGTGTAATCACCATGTTTGGTCCATCTCAAAGCCTTTGAAACTTTCTCCCAGCAGAGCTCCCTCCTCAGGAACCCTATAGCCTTTGGGTGCACCCCATCACCACTCAGTGAATTGTGTGAAATGTCTACTTCCTGGCTGTCTCTTCCAGTAGCCTAGAGCTCCTTGAGGGGGACTCAGTTGCATTTGCCTTTCCATTTGTCTCACAGTCCAGATTGGGTACAGAGTAGACCTTTTCCCAAAAAAACTCTACTGGTGTGTGAAATGGAAAGGGAAGGAGGGGATGTGGTAGACATGAGTGAGTGGGAAAGCAGAAATGTGGAATGAGAGATAGGAAACAGTGGGAAGACGATGGAGGAGTGATGGCCACTTAGAAGGAGGACAGGGTGGGGTTGAGGTGGATAGTGGAAGGCAGAAGGACTGATAAAGGGATATGAAAGATAGACAAATGGGATTGGAAGGAAAAAGGAAACACATATAAAAGAATTTGAGGAAAGGAGGAAGGATGGCTCGATGGACAAAGAGCGATGGTGTTGCAGTGTGCATGTGTGATATATCGATGATGAATAAGTGATGAAAGGAAAGAAGGGTCAGTTAGCAGATGTGTAGGAAGACAAGATGAGGTGAGATGAACTGTGGCCAAGTCAAGGGAAAAAGTAAGCTACTGAGATGGATAAAGGGGGAAGGAAAATGGGCAGATGAATGGAAAGAGGAGTGGAAGGGAGATGGCAAGTTCTGTAAGATGGAAGGAAGGAGTCTGGTGGGCCTGGAAAAGGAGAGGCCTACTTTGTAGGAGAGGTGGGTTGCCATTACCAGGCTGAGAGCACCCACGACCCTTCCTGGATGATGGTGGGGTTCTGGGTCCTCAGTGTGTACTCAACAGTCGGGGAATCATCTCTCTTTTAGACACACCTGCTTGTGACAGGAATGAACAAGAGAGTTTTATGAGCCTTTGTTTCCATCAGTTGAATGTCTCCCATCTTCTATGTTCTTCCCATTGTTTCCTGTCTCTTTCTCCCCATCAGATATTGCCTCACTCGGGATGTTGGGGGACAACAACTTGCCCAGTACCCCACAGCCCATTTTGTTCCAACGGTCTTATCACATGGACTTTAAGGTAAGAACAGCCAACTCCTCTTGAGGACTTAGAGGAGCCAGGTCTCTGCATTTGAGGTCTTCTTGGCTGGGATATGTGTCCAAGCTGAACCACCAAGAGAGCCAGAATGAGCTTTGATTTTGAATGACTGTGTAGCCACAAGCACCATACCCTCACCTCTGAACCCCAGTTTTCTTGTGTCAGGTAGGGGTGATTTTCATAACCACACACGTCTCTTCCAGGATACATGTGTCCCTATGACCTGGAGTTGGTGTCTTCTATTAAAGGGGATAGCAGAATTTAACTGGCAAGTTTTACAATGTCTTATTGGTCCATTAAGTAATGCATACTTAAATTGATGGTGTTCAGTACTGTGAATACGATTAGATGAGGAAGGGCCTGGCATACATGAGAAGAGTAGGGACTCAAAAAACCATTGGCTTATTCTGTTTTGCTCTTGATTTAAAAAGACTTAAACAACCAATCAAGTTTATTATTTAGCATCTTCATACACAGAGCCTTCAGGGTGCTGGGGCAGTCATCCTGGTGGCCTTGGCTATATCCTCCCACCCTAGCTCATTCCAGGCTGGGACATGGCCAGGAGCTTGGGGCAGTTCCTGGATCCTTTCACAAGGTGGAATCTTGGGATCAACAGTCCACTGCCTGTCAGCCCTCAGCTGTCCAAGGGCAGAGTCTGAATTCTGGAATGTAGGAACAGTGTTGTGACAGTTCAGTGTTTGACCTGGGCAAAGCCATTCCCATCTCCAAGCCTCCTTTTCTTGTCTGTTATCCTCATGTTGCAAAGTTGGTGTCAGGTTTACATGGAACACAGAGCCTGACACACAATAGGTATACACTTACTGAGTTTTTTTTTTTAATTTTGTTTTCTTTTCCCAGGACAAAAGTTTCCCAGCCTCTTTCATCAATTGGCTGATTAAAGGTAAGTTTTCTTTCTCACATCCATCCCAGAATCCCCAATCCTACCTTCCTATTTAGTGTTGAACATCCTATGGGAAGGATACTGAAAACAGATATAAAATCACAGAGCCATAGAACCAATGCCCGGATCAACCTTACTGAAGCTGGGTTCCTGGAAAGTCAACTCTACAGTATTACAGTGGGGTTCCTGAGATAGCCCATTCTAGAGGGGTTAGGTTATAAGTGGGTCTCTAGGACAGTTCACTGATCTATGTTAAAAAGAAATTCTTGGAGCTGTCCAGTCCTAGGTAGTTGGTGCCTTGAGCAAAGTTTCTGAGTTATCTTATACTTCAGGCATTAAGGTTTCTACTATTGTAGGATATCCTCCGCAGTGACCAATGTTACACTGAGGTTCCTGAGATAGCCCACTCTACAGCAATTATAATTACAATGACATTCCTATTCATGGTGATTCTTATTATAGAAGGATTCCTGAAGTAGTTTTTTTCCATAGTGGTAAGTGCTAGAATGGAGTTTCTGGGATAGTTCACTTCACAGAACAGAAAGAACCTGAGCTGGGCATTAGGGATAGGCTTAAATCCCAGTTCAGCCAATATGTTAGTTACTTTTCTTAATGCTGTGACCAAACACCTGAGAAGAAGAAACTAAAGGAAGGAAGGGTTTATTTTATTTTAACGGTTTGAGGGTACCATCCATTATGGTGGGGGAGGGCACGCAGCAAGAGCATGGGGTCACATGTGTCTGTAAGCAGGAAGCATAGGCGAATGCTAGTGTTCTCTTACTTTGTCCTGAAGAAGTCTTGAATCCTAGCCTGTGGAATGATGTATGACACACTCGGGGTGGGTCTTCAGATCTCCATTAACTCAACATATAAACTACCTACTCAATAGGCCCAGAGGTGGCTCTAGACTCGGTCATGTTGATGATCGGTATTAATCATCACAGCTACCAACTCCCTGTGTCCCTCCCATGCGTTCCGTTCCCCCTCTCTCTGGCCCTCTGTTCTCATCTGTTCAGAACCCTCAGTCTCTGACAACTTTTATCTAATTGAGAGTATTGGGACATGGAGAGGGCAACAAGATCAGAGAGCAGAGGAGTCTCCACAAAGAAATCCAAGCTGTGATAAGTCTTCCTAAGAACTGGCATTTAAGTGTCCTCTAAGGGCTGAAGTTCCTTACTTATGTCTTCTCATCTCTTTGGTGTGAGGTGCAGATGCTCAGTGACCCCCATTGCCTGTAGGATGTTGATGGGACCAAGCAGGATGATCATAAGGATGCTAAAACAACTGAGTGTCTCCATGGAACTCTCTGACCCCAGCTTGGGTGGCTCTGGCCTTGATCTCCTCTCCAGGGTTTATCCACAGCCACCCACAGCGGTCCTTTCTCTAGAGCATGGGTTTTCACTCACCGAAGCTGACCAGTGAAAAGCATCCACAGACTATGTCAGCATGGGGCTGCTTCAGGAAGACCCATCTGTAAGAACCAACCAAAGGCATGTGCTTGAGAAGGGATAGGACAGTGAATGGCCTTTCAGTTCAGACAGTGGGCAGGGCTTACAGTCCTGGCAACTGTTGGGACCATCTGAAACTGATGCTGGATCCATCAAGGCAAGTGGCATTCCAGTAAGATTTGTCAACCAAGAGGTGTGCCCCATGTCTGAAACAGATGCTGGGGGAAGTGCCACACGGAGCCCTGGCACTGAACCCCAATTAGCTGTGCCTCTGCACATATTTCTCTCTTGTGTGAGAAATATGCTCCCAAGCCATTTTCTCTGCATGGAAGGTTCACTTTGGGGTCTGCCTGGGGACAAGTAGAAGGCCAAGATAAAGTGCGTGTCTTAGTCATTCTTCCTATTGTGATAAAACATCCTGACAAATGTAAATTAAGGGAGAAAGGGCTTATTGAGGCTCAAACATAGCAATGATCTTCTATCATGATGGGAAGTCATAGAAGCAGCAGCCTGTCACATTGCATCCACTCTCAAGAAGCAGAGTGGTGAATACATGCTGGTGCTTGGCTAGCCTTTTTTTTTGTAGCCCAGGGAATGGTACCACCCATAGTGTGTGTGTGTGTTGGGTCCTCTCATCTCAGTTAACAATCAAGACAACCCCCTACAGGCATGATTAGACTGGGTGTCGCAAATTCTGCTGAGTTGACAGTTAACACTATCGGAACACTTTTTGAATTCCAGGAGGTTGAAAGTCCTGACTTTAGAGGCTGAAGAGGCCATCATAAACAGGCCTATGGTTCTATACTGTTGAAGCCAGAGAATAAGGATAGCACCTGCCTCACTATGAAAATATGCAGGACAAATCTAAGTTCAGAACTGGGGCAGTGCAGCAAACTGCCTCCAGAGCCAGATTGTCTAACCCACCAGGAAGGGAAGGGCTGGAGGAAAGATGAGAGAGGGGAGCCTCAGAGGCTAAGATGGGGAGCCTTGGGGGCTGTGAGACCATGCACCTTTCTCCTACCCTTACTGACAGGCCCTGAATGAGCAGAGACTGGACAGTTTGTACATTTGGGCTGCCTCTTTTCCTGACCAGGAAGAAAGAGTGTCTGACTCTGGCAAGGCACCAGGCCTGTGCTGGACTGGCCAGGGCTGGTCAGTTCCCAGATAGGCCACTAGGGGGAAGCCATGATACTGCTAATATGTTTCTCAGTTTATAACCAAATCTGTGGGCTGGAGTCAGAATTCCTAGTTTTAATCCCAGTTCTTCAGAGAGTAGAATATTTAACCTCACTGTGCTTCATTCTCTCCACTAAGGACTAATAATAGAAGTAACTCATTCACTTTTACTCTCCCCAGCCAGATCATTTTTTATTAGCATATATTGACTGTAAAAAGTGGAGGTTTCATAATGGCATCCCCATTCAGGGGTTTTGACCTTATTACCCTCCATCACCACCACCACCCCCCCCCCCCACACTGTCCTTTCCTTCACCCACCACCAGCCCCTTTCTTTCCATTTTTACTTTTGCATCATATACATGGATACACACACACACACACACACACACACACACACACACACACATTTTCGAACAGTTTAAATATTATTAAGAATAATTTATCATGGGATAACAGAAAATTTTAAAGTGTTTTCATAGCAAGGGAAGAGATCACCAGAGTGAAGAGACAACAGACAGGATGGGAGAGAATCTCTGCCAGCTCTGCCTCCAACAGAGGATTAATGTCAAGCACTAGAAAGAACTAAAAAATTAATCCCCCCCTCGAAAATTTTCAATCACTAAATGAAAATTATCGAATGAGCAGTTCTTTAAAGAAGAAACACAGAGGGGCTCCTTTAGGGTGGACCTGGTACCTTTCTATAGAGTGGCTGCTGAGAAGACTCCTGTACTCAGCTGAGAAAAGTGACCACGTTATGTAGCTAGAGTTTTCCTGCCTTGCCCACAGCCGGGACAAATCTCTCTCACCCACCAGTCGCACAGCCGCTCAGACCCAACCAAGTAAACACAGAGACTTATATTGCTTACAAACTGTATGGCTGTGGCAGGCTTCTTGCTAACTGTTCTTATAGCTTAAATTAATCCATTTCTATAAATCTATACATTGCCACGTGGCTCATGGCTTACCGGCATCTTCACATGCTGCTTGTCAAGGCGGCGCTGGCAGTGTCTCCTTCCGCCTTCCTGTTCTTTCTTTTCTCCTTTCTGTTAGTCCTGCCTATACTTCCTGCCTAGCCACTGGCCAATCAGTGTTTTATTTATTGACCAATCAGAGCAATTTGACATACAGACCATCCCACAGCAACATTAGTTGAATGGCATGGAGCAGATGGTTCAGTGGGGCCGTGGAAGATTGAGAGGAATGGTCCACTTAGCAAATTGATGGGAGACAGGGATGATAAGGCTGATAAGTTTCCAATTTGATGGGCAGCCTGATAGTGAGACGGACACACCTGTACAGTTGGAAGTGAAAGAGGAGGAGGAGGAGGAGGAGGAGGAGGAGGAGGAGGATGACAACAATGATGACAACGACAAGGCCTGCAGTAAGCAGGAGGTGTCTGCTAACAAGCGAAACTACCACCTCATTCCAATTAGAATGATGGTCAGCTCTACACTGTCACCACTACAGGACAATTTTTTTCCCTGTCTTGTTTTTTCCTACTTCCCTCCCCTTTGATTGGACAGAAAGTAACTGATCTTTGTACACAATTATATTGTTCTTAAAAAAAAAACTAAACTAAATGGCCAGTCTTCTGTTTCTGTTGACATTAAATGAGATGTAATGGATAAGTTCTGGTTCTGAGAACCCCCTTCGTAATTAGTGGCACACCCCTTCCGCTTGTAGTCTTTAGATTCCAATAAGTTGTTTTGTTCTCATTGTTTCAACAATAACAAGACCCAACAGCATAATAACCCTTGCATACTTTGACTGGAGAACTTTAGTGTGTTTTATTTAATACTGTAAAAGGACAATTTTATAGCTTTTGTTGTACACAGCTGTACAACACAATACCACCACACACAGCTGTTACATGTGGGGCAATGCATCTTTAAGTAGGGGTAAAGTACTCTACAAAAATGAGTCTTGGATAGTTTTCCCTTCAGATCAAGTGTCTTGTTTAAATAATTTTTATTTTGTTTAAAGTGGAGGAAAAATTAGTACAATAGCCAACAAATATTTGGAGGAAAATGTTTAGTATACTTAGCTGTCAGAGAAATATTCAAATCAAAACTGCACCAAGGCTGCAACACACTCCAGTCAGGTGGCTATAGAGATGTAATGAAAGGGGAACTCTCCTTATATATGTGCAGCCACCATGGAAATCAGTATGAAGGGTCCTCAGAAAGCTGAAGACAGAGCTGGGCAGTGGTGGCACACACCTTTAATCCCAGCACTGGGGAGGCAGAGGCTGATGGATCTCTGAGTTTGAGGCCAGCCTGGTCTACAGAGTAAGTTTCAGGACAGCCAGGGCAACACAGAGAAACCCTGTCTTGAAAAACACCAAGCCAAACCAAACCAAAATAAAAAACTGAAGATAGGACTTCCGTATGACCCATCTGTTCACTCCTAGATACATACCTGGAGGAAGCTAAGGCAGCACACCTCACAGATACCTGGTCAGCCATATCCATTGCTACACTATTCACAACAGCCAAGATGTGGAACCAGCCTGGGTGTCCATAATAGATGAATGGATAATTATTCTTTGATCTGAATAAAATTCTGTTGTGTATATGTCCCATATTTTGTTTATTCATTTTTCTTTATCAGGTGTCCATCCAGGAGTCACATGATAGTTCTATTTTTGGTCTCCTGAAGACACTCTACAGTGATTCCCTAGTTTACACTTCCACCAACTGTACTTCTCTCCTTACCCACATCCTTGTTGACATTGTTTTTCTTGATGACATCCTTTCTGACTGAGGTGGGATGTAACCTTAGTGTAAGGAAGTATAACTTCTTTTCCAAGTATTTCTTGGTCATTTGTGTTGCTCCTTTTGAAAACTGTCTGTTCCTGACATGTGCTCTTGTATTGATTAGATGTTGTTTCTTTGGTCCTTCAGTTCTTGTGCATTCTAAATGTTGACCCCTGTCAAAGATTCTCTCCTGTCCTGTGGGCTGTCCCCTCACTCTGGTGACTATTTCCTTTGTGCTGCAGAAACTTTTGACTTCATGGAATCCCATGTGACAGTTTTCACTCTTGTGCCCTGAGCTACTGGAATGGTTTCCAGAGAGTCCTGGCCCATGCCTATATCTTCCTCTGGCAGTTTCAGAGTTTCATTTCTTACATTTAAATCTTTGATCAACTTTGGACAGATTTTGGAGTGGGGTGGGAGATAAGGATCTAGTTCATTCCTCTACATGTGGATACCTAGTTTACTCAGCATCATTTGTTAAGGATTTTTAATTTTAATTTTTTATTTTACTTATTTTTAAATAATGTGTTGTCAAACATTAGGTGACTGTAGCAGTGTGGGTTTGTTTCTTTGTCATCTATTCTATCCCAGTGGTCTACATTTCTGATTTTATGTATCATGATGTTTTTGGTACTATGGTTCTGTCCTGTAGTTTGAGGTCAGGTACTGTGATGCCGCCAGCTTTTTAACTCAGGATTGCTTTGGCCATGAGTCATTTTATTCAGTGCTTAGAGCTGCCCCAGCAGGTAGCAGTTACTATTTTTAGATTACAAATCTGGAAACTAAGGCTCAGAGATTAACTGTTCTGTTATTTCCACACAGACAAAAGGAAGGATAACTGAGGCTCAAGCCCGGGTCTTCTTCAGAAGGCAGAAGCTGGAGGAAGATGAAGGATGCCCTGTTGTGTCCTAGTAGAGTGTGTAACCGAAAGTTTTGTCCTCACCCACCGGTACCCAGATAACCAGTCAGAGGCTTTAGCTTCAGTTCCCCCACAGTACCTCAATGACTTGGGCATAAAGTGGGACTCCTTTATCATTCCCTGGCTCTCTGACTCTGCCCTGGGGAAAATGCACTGTGGCAGCCCAGAGACCACACCCTGCCCCAAAGGGGCAACCTAAGTCTCTGGAGTCTCTCCACCTGCACAAAGCAGCCAAAGCTAATCTTTTGAGGATAGCAGAGCCATGCTTGGTCAGCAGACGACAACATTGGTTTTTCCAAACTTCTCTTGTCAGTGCTCTCTTTGTAAGTGACTGCAGACACCCTGCTGGCCCGAGGGAGACTCCTGAAGCCAGACAACTGGGCAAGGACAGAGAAGGGGCAAGTGGAGTCAGCCCAGACATGAAGGCTCAAGTGGAAGGCAAGGCCTGCAGCATGGCCAGCACCCAGGGATCTTCCAGGAGAGGCTCCTGGGAACCCCTCTACCATGACATGTTTTCTTCCTGCAGGTCACACTTGTTGAGACTTTGCTCAGGCGGATCTGTCATGGTGTCCTGCACATTTTAATAAAGTGTCACGCTGTGAACAGCAAGTCAAACAAAGCAGGTCCGGTCCCCTGTGTGCTGCTGCTAAGAATATAGCAGAAATAGGCTCAAGTGTCTCTCAGTTCAGGAAGAATAAAGGTCACCCTGGACTTGTGCCCTCCAGCTTCCTCCTATGTCTGTCCCCAGTTCAGCCAAGCTCCCTGCTAAGCCTTGACCACCCACACAAACTACAGCTTTGGGCAGAGGCCCCGAGGTGGGGAGAGACTAGTGGTACAGGAGGAAAATGCTCGTTTTGGGCACACCTACTTCTTCACCTGTGGTTCCCATCGTCACTCCCACAGACAGGCCCAGTGAGTCTTCCATGGACAGCACATAGAGGGAGGCAGTAGACAGGAATGTCCACACCCTGGCTATTTTACCCCTAGCTCTGTTCTCTGCTATTTATTCACTCCTCTGCCCCCCTGCCACAGATTTCTATGCAGGAACAATTTCTTCATATTGAACCACAAGTGTTTTTGTCACCCTGGCTGCTATGTTTAGTTTATAGTTCAGCACGCCACTCTTATAGGGATGGTGGGAATGAGTTGTAGAAGGCTAGAAGGGATACCAGAGGAGAGATGTCTGCTTTCTGCTGTGGTCACTAAGTTACTGGTGGCCATCTCTGCCATCCCCTTGGGCAAAGTCAGCTTGAAGTCAGAGCAGAAGAAACCAGAGCCCAGTCACAGAGAAAACACGGTCCTGAAGATTTCCTTTGAGTGCCTGGAACCCATAATATTTCATGACCCCTCTTTAGTCCTTAAGTCATTTGAGGTTGTATCTTCTACTTTACAAGTAACCCAAGGAGCCTGACAAATGCAAACACATTCCAGTTCATTCTGCATAAGTTGTAGTGGGAAATGAGAGAGGAGTGACAGGCAGAGGTGTGTGTGTGTGTGTGTGTGTGTGTGTGTGTGTGTGTGTGTGTATAGCAGAGAGTTAGGTGGCTACAGATGAGGTACTCTAAAGGACAGAGAGGATTTGCAGGTGTGACATGTAACATCCTTAGGCCTTGCTCTGGTGCTGGGAGGAACTGATGCAGAAAGAGTGAGAGGCCATTTCCTGGAGGCTGTCACTGTGGAGAAGGTCTTCAAACTTGTTCCCTCCTCCATGAGAAGGGATTGCCAGGGTGCCTGCTGCCTGCCTCTCTGAGGACGAACACATGCTCTCTGTAGATGGAACAGAAGCCTTGGCATGGATGAATGAAGGTTCACAGGAGGGAAGGTTCTGGGTCTCAGCTCCAGCTCCCATCAATCCAGTCAGCTCATTCAGCTTATTCAACAGCTTTCTCCTTCCACCTTTACCAAGTGTGGTGTTTATTGGGTCTTACCAGAAGTCAGCCCCAGGCTGATGGCTATGGACATAAAAGGCAGAATGAACGTCCTCAAGCCTGAAGGAGTCTCAGGATGGCAGAAGAGAGAGACCAGCATACATTCCTTCAACCAACTATGTCTTGAAAAAGAAATATATTTGTAGGCAGAGCTTTTCATTGGGATGGTGATTAGCTCTGTTCCTCCAGCCACTTTCCAAATAACCACTCAGAGATGTATTATTAATTATAAATGCTTTGCCAATAGGTCAGGCTTTTTACTAGTTAACTCCTACAACTTAAATTAACCCATTTTATATTAATCTACATTCTGCCACATGGCATTACCTGTCTTTCATCTTACACTTCCTATTTCCTTTCTATGTCTGGCTGGTGAATCCTCTGATTCTGCCCTTCTTCTTTCAGGCATTCTCTCTGTCCTGAAAATCCTGCCTAGCCATTGGCCAATCAGCTTCTTATTAACAATGAGAGCAACACAACTTCACAGATTATTCCAACAGCATTTCCCCCTTTTTGTCCAAATAAAAATGAAGGTCTTAACTTTAACATAGTAAAATTACACACAACAAAAACAATTATCAAGTAAGAATTACAGTTACAATATCCAGTCCATTTGTATTTGGCAAATTTAAAGAAAATATTCTATTATTTATCTTATCTTTATGAGTCTAAAGTTTTATACCTAATTTACCTTTTTATCATAACTACAGAAAACTTCCAGTCTAATTATTTAGTCTTTAACTTCATTAAAGACTCCAGAAGGGTGTAATGTTACCTAATGACAGGGATATCTGGCTGCCTGGACAGTCACTTGAGGTTCTTCTGTAACACTGGGGCACCTACTTTGGCCTATAGGCTTAGTATATATGACAGACATTTTTGAGAAGCAGGGAATTTTGAGGGACTGTCCTCCCTTGTCTTGGCAAAGTTTGGCAGTCACTTTCTTTTACTGGTCCAGTTTGTACAGTATACTGTCAGCAATTGATGCAAGAGCAGTTTCTTTGCCAAAATGGCTAGCCCTTGCCATAAAGATAGCAAACTCCATATGGAATTTCTTTGATGCTCATCATCTTCTTTTGAAGCAAATTGGTGCTGTCAGGAGCAGACATGTCTCACCGTCATGAAAAGCCTTAAGTTATTAAACATATTAATGCCATATTCTGTCAGTCTTTGAAGTGTTTGAAGACTATCATCTATCTATCTATCTATCTATCTATCTATCTATCTATCTATCTACCTATTTATCTATCTAAATACACCTGCTTAACCTTGAAAACATACCTAATATGACTACAAGCTTATTATAGGTGACTGACTACTAACTATATTTTTTAATTATATATTACATTTTTAAATGAGCTGCATAAGCAAATACCCCAAACAAGAGTAGAAACATACATACAGTATAACAAAATTAGCTTTATACCAAAATCCATACCAATGTAAAATTTTTTGAGACTAATAATTATTTTTTGGACTAAAGTAGATTCATTAATCTACCCTTTTATTTCATCATTTCTATATTATATCCCCCCTTTTCCTTCAGAAAGATATATTTGCATTAAACTCCTTTGTTTAATCTTTTTTTGACTAAAACCAATAACAATTTGTAACCAATCCCCCTTAAATATTAATAAATATCCATAACCCATCTTTTGGGAATGTGGACGTCATTCTCTAGACTACTTTCTGTTGATTGGGGGCACTGGCATCTTTTGGGAGCCATGAGAAGATTCAGGATAATGGTTAAGTCTTGGCTGGAGTAGTTTGTGAGGCTGGACCATCTCAGCCAGCAGCCTTGAAGCTGTTCTGGATGCAGAACTCAGAGGAAATTGCAACAAGGCATTTTGAGATGCTGGATCACTGTCCATTTGTTTTCACTGGTGTCTGTCCACCTTGCTCTGAAAATACATAAACTTTTAAAGGTAACATACATATCTCTATTAGTACAAGTATAGACTGTGTGTTGTATACAAGTTAGCCAAAGATGATTATTTTGTTTTATATTTGAGCAGGTAAAACATACGTTATATGTTTTGTAGTTTTTATTTTTAAAGTTTACTTCTTTATGCCTGTAGTCAAGATATCAGGGGGTTTTCCTCAATTGAACATGATCATCTTTAACCTAGAATGAATCTACAGCCTCTCATTTCCTGTGGAAATAAAAGCATAATCTCTCTTCCAGAGCAACACACCTTTTGACTTCCATTTTGAAGTCAAGATATTTTAAAAATATATAGATTGGTTTAATCTAACTGTTTCCATAATCCAATATTTCTTAGAAGTTATTACTTGTTTGTTAGCAGTCAAAAAATTTAAAGACAACATAATAACATATATTATCCAGATTTCTGTGTATTTACCATCTTTATGTGGCTTATTATATATATATATTATTATTGTATTATATGTTTATATATATATATTTCTTTTTTAAGGACTTTATTA